CCAAGTTTGAATGAAAACTGACAAAGCATGTCCAAAATACAACATTTTTAAAAAACAAGATGGCTGCCAATCGGCCATTTTGAATCGAATCGCTAAGCCACTGCATGTGCATATGTCCCACATAAAGTACTAGGCACATGCAAAGAATGAACGAAATCGGTCCAAGGGATTCTGAGATATGACTCTGGACGGACGCACGGACTATTATAAGTCCCCGTTTTCGGACTTCGTCTGGACGGGGACTAATAATTGTAATATTGTTAACCTAGTCTTTTTTCAAGAATGATTATCATAATAACAGTTTTCTATTTAAATACAATGGGAAGTTCTCTCCCATAATACATTGCATGTACATGTGTATGTGCACTGACATGCTCAAGATCAGCCAAAGAACTGTGACAAAACTTGGTAATTTCTCCATCTATAAATTCTAGGTGTATTAAATACAAAATAATAGAAGCTTCCATTAATTTATATTTCCTGTCTGAGAGGAAATAACAGGTTTTTTTTATGGTGTCAATAAACAGTATTCTATTCTGTACATGCATGTAGTCAGATTTCAATGCACGCATTTCACAGTATTGGAATATTCTTTGAATGTTAAAAGTTCATCATTGTCAATCTAAAGCAATCTAAGTATATATGGATCTAACATGGAAGCAGTTTAATGTAAGCATACTATCAATGGTATATTAATGTAGTGTCAAGAGTTTTAATTTTGCTTAAAATCAATTTTCTTGATTTTTTATATTGGGGCCATTTTTGAGAGTGACATTTTGTGTATTAAGGCTCTGTGACTTGCTGTTTTTGATTTTTGAATTGTGCATTTTTCCCTGAAATTATTAGTATGTGTCTTCTATCGTGAATAGTATATATGAATAGTAGACTGAGTCTAGTGAATGGTCTGGAAGGCTGTTGTCGGGTCTTAAGTATGGATAACTCTGCGCATGTGAGTGATGTACTGATATCATTGAGACTGCCAATCAGTGAATTCTGTGCTGTCTATGTATTTACGTAGCAATCCACCAGACCACTGAATGGTTGGATTCCAGTCTATGAAAATTATACCACTGAATCAAATAATTTCTTTTTTCCTTGATTTGTAAACAAAATGTTTTGTCACAAATACTTCTTTGTACACATCACAGGTGTCTTGAATCAGCCAATGAGAATTCATAAATTGTTGTCAGGTGTCTTGAATCAGCCAATGAGAATTCATAAATTGTTGTTGTTTATACCATGGATTGGTTATGTCATACAGTACATGAGACTGAAGTACATAACACTTTTTCCACATCAAAATAGATGTGATGATCCTTTATTTCTTGTCAATCATGGTAAAAATTAGGAAAAATCATAGTCACAAATAATAATCTGCATTACCGGTAGAAGCTGTAAGATATCTGGAATTTTGAAAAATGTAACAAATCCATAAATTTGTGATAATTTAAGAATTAAAGGAAGCTTAAAATAGAAAGAAATATATATATATATTTCAAAATCAGTGATACTGCAATGGCTCATTCATGACACTTATTTAGAACATTCAGCTGTAAGAAAAACATGCATAAACAAAAAAATTATTTATCGTATACTGGATCATTATAATATGACTTTTTTGACAATAGACACACCTTTGTCATTCTTGTAATAATTGCACAACACAAATATGGTACATATATATTAGACATGTAAGCACACTGGCCATATGACTTTTTTGACCATAGACACACCTTTGTCATTCTTGTAATAATTGCACAACACAAATATGGTACATATATATTAGACATGTAAGCACACTGGCCATATGACTTTTTTGACAAGAGACACACCTTTGTCATTCTTGTAATAATTGCACAACACAAATATGGTACATATATATTAGACATGTAAGCACACTGGCCATATGACTTTTTTGACAATAGACACACCTTTGTCATTCTTGTAATAATTGCACACACAAATATGGTACATATATATTAGACATGTAAGCACACTGGCCATATGACTTTTTTGACAATAGACACACCTTTGTCATTCTTGTAATAATTGCACAACACAAATATGGTACATATATATTAGACATGTAAGCACACTGGCCATATGACTTTTTTGACAATAGACACACCTTTGTCATTCTTGTAATAATTGCACAACACAAATATGGTACATATATATTAGACATGTAAGCACACTGGCCATATGACTTTTTTGACAATAGACACACCTTTGTCATTCTTGTAATAATTGCACAACACAAATATGGTACATATATATTAGACATGTAAGCACACTGGCCATATGACTTACTTGCATTCATATCTGTTGTCAACTTGATCAGTGAGGTGAAAACCTGATTTGTGTTCTGCAGATTTATTTGGTGGCTTTTTGATATTGACAATGTTGGTATTGTACTGGACTTTGATATTAAGTTTTTCTGTGTAGTCGTTAAGATATTTCAACATCACATCAGCATGCGGGAAAAACTCCCTTGAATAGTGTCTGTGAAAATAAATCAATTATTGTATACTCAGCATGGCAAGGTGTTATTTATATTTTCTGTACCCGGACTGTGCTCTTGCATTAACTAAAAAAACAAACATGCACAATAGAAATAATATGTGCTTGAATGAAATGTCCCTTCATTTCAGATCACAATTTAGCAGGATTTAACCACAAAGGGTCACAAAACAACATTGTTCCGTAAATACTTTAGCACCTATCGCGGACAGAAATTCAGCACAGTGAAAATTGAATGAGTTACTAATGAGTTGGTTACTAATGATTTGAAGGTATACATAAGGTCTGCATTGAGAGAGGCAATAACAAGTCAAACTATTAGCATGAAACGTGCACATTAAGTATTCTTTGAAACGTAAACCAAACATGCTTTTTAGTTCCTTCAGTACAGACTTGCTTCCAAAAGACATGAAAGGTTCTTTGTGAAATCCAATAGTTCATTTAATGTATAATTTTAACAGGTGTCACGTACTGTACGTACATCAATCTACATCAGCATTAGAGTTAGTGTTGAAAATAAAATCACATTTTTCAGTATTACAAAGATCGAATTACTTAAATTAATCTTAAGTCAAATACAGAACATGTGGGACCCTATAACACACCCGGTAAGTAGGTAGAGATTTTCTCTATATATTTTTTCTTTGTTACAACTGTGTTTTTTCTTGCATATACTGTTTTTGCAGATTTAGTGTCAAGTCATGTTTAAAGTTGTTTACCGGTACATTAATACCCAGTTTTGAATTTCTATAAAATCACATTCTGTCACATTACTCTGCCACAATTTTGTGATGTTTTCTCAAATATGACCAAAAAAATTAGGGTCAGGCAGTAAAAAATAGGGTAGGTTGGGTTATAGACCCACACGATTTTGTTTTCTTTGTTGTACCTTATCTGTAGACTTTCATCATCACTCAGCAGTGAATTCCAATCATGCCGCATATTGAATTCTTTGTTGGTTTTCCCGGTATTCCTTTTATTGATGCTAATTAATGTTCTATGTCTTGGATATTCTACAAAAAATGATCCTGATGTATTTGCACGCTCAAAGATTACATAGTCTCTGCCAGCTTTCTGTAGAAAATAGCCTAACTGCAGTCCAGATGGTCCAGCACCAATGATGCAGTAATCTCTTTGTAATGGTGGTGGGGAATCCTCAGACAATGTAATCTGCATAGATAGGAATAGCACCATGGCAATTTGAGCCAACATGGTTGCAAAGTAGAAAGCTTCAATGCTTTAGACGATTTCTGTTAAAGATAAATTAAGACAAGCAATTTAACACATTAATTGAGAACACATAATGAGAACACATGTTGTAGATTATTGTGAGTATACAGCAATTATTGTTGTAGATTATTGTGAGTATACAGCAATTATTGTTGTAGATTATTGTGAGTATACAGCAATTATTGTTGTAGATTATTGTGAGTATACAGCAATTATTGTTGTAGATTATTGTGAGTATACAGCAATTATTGTTGTAGATTATTGTGAGTATACAGCAATTATTGTTGTAGACTATTGTGAGTATACAGCAATTATTGTTGTAGACTATTGTGAGTATAC